TTTTTTTTTTTTTTTTTTTCAGGGTTTAACACTAACAGTACGGCTTAACTACCCGTATGTTTTAGAAATATCGTACATTTATTGAAACCCTGTCTTAGCAAACGTACAGCTTATTTGAAGTATTATTTCAAAATTTAAAGGGTTTGAGACGAATAGCACAAATTCTTCACTCATAACTTTTTTTGTTTTCAATTATTCCCCGTTTTTCAAAAAAAGTCATTTAGCTAAATTTTCTAGCTTTGTACACGTTTTTTAATTCATTGATAGTTAAACTGATTTCCAAAAAAAGTTTCTTCAAAGAGAGTACAATTTTTTGTGCAACCGCATTAGTGGTTAATGCTCTTAGTCCTAAGTCCACGAAAGATTTGTTTCGCGCGCAAAATGTTGGACCATTTCAATTGAACTATTGTTCCCTATGTTGCACAGCTCTTAAAGGACGTAGTTATAGTGCGGTAGGAGTGTAATGGTTAGCAAAATGACAACATATAGGAAGGTAGAATGGAGAGATAACTAATAAAGGAAAGGAAATAAGTGGTCACACCGGCACTACACTTATGCGCGCAGAAATAGATTGTGAAAAAGCAGGGTAAGACGGAATCAGGAAAAATTTTATATTTTCCTTCTTGTATCAACTTATTCTTCTAATGAGTTAGTTTTTTTTACAGTTGTTAATAATAGTTAAAAAGCTTTCTACTTATAATTAAAGTTTTGGCGTTTTTCAATTAAAACACTACCTCTTAACGAATGACAGTTTCTGAGGAAATTCAAAATGTTGGAGGCGGTATTAAAGTGGTTAAAATTCAGCTGCTCTCTTTAAGTAAACTTCATTTATATTATCAGATTTTGTAATGAGATAAAGAGAACTTTTAAAGTTAGGGTTACAATAAAACACAAAATCATATGGGTTTTGCTGAAAAAATGCAAATGTTTCTTATCTGAGGGAACGGTTTAATTGAAACGCTGTCGATATGCAGGACGAGGCGCGATAACAAAATTAATTTAGAGGGAAGTATAACAATTTCTGGAAAAAACAGAGTTGCTAGAACGTTCCTTCAGCAAGGAAGAAGAATTTAAGTTACATTAGACGAAGAAATTTTAAAATCAGTAAGAAATTTTAAAGTATTTTTTGCAGAATTATTCAACTAAATTTATCTGGTTTCAATTAAACACAAATAAAGGATTAATCAAAAAAATTTTTTTTGGTGATACTGCTGTTTGAATGCAATATTCTTGGCTATCATAAGCAGTTATAAATGAAGAAAAGAGGTGTATTAGGTGATAAAATCGAAAAGAAGTGAATGTTAAACTCCGTATTGAGCTAGGCAGCTGAATCCACAACAAGACTTCACTGCAGTTGGTTATGCTAACTTTGGAGATTTTTTTAGTGATAACATAACTTTGTTCTTTGTGTGCAAGTTTCTTAACTCTGTATCACTGGAATGTCGTAGTTTCAGGAATATTTATTTGCTAGTACGTTACTTTCTTTCAAATCTAGTTTTAATGTTCATTTTTTGTTCCAAACTTTAGATATTGTGTCATGCACTTAAAAAGTATTTATTAAATTTCGCGCCTGCAGACTTCTGAACAACGTCTAAGCTTTGCTTGCTAAGCAACTGCTTCTGAAAACTCAGTAAGGTTGGCATCAAAAAGACTGTTTTAATTACTACAGTACACAGGCTTTGGCGGCTTCTGTATTATCAACGTAGCAGGACTTCAAATCCAAAGCAGCCAAACTGTGTAGTCTTGGTAGACTTAGCTTAGTGCTGATTTTTTTAAACAAAAAGTGTATTCTGCAGCACCAATGGATTGGTAGCATAGTCAAGAACTTTGAATACAGCAAATGAAAGTAAGAAATAAACGGAACAAAATTATTTTTTGAGAGGTCAAACTAAACTTTAGTGGCGCACACAATGAAGTATTCCTAAATCCAGTTCTACTACGCTTTTCAATAAAAAAAAGTAAATTTGTTAATTAAAAAAAAGTAAAATAGGGCTCTGGCTATAAAGCTGAAAAATTAGCTCAAATACTAACCTTGAAAATGGCTAGCTGCAAATTGAGAATTAATAGTTTTGAGAATTTTAACGGTCAAAAAGTAGTGGTAAGAAAGCTTCATTGTGTTATGCACATAACAACTGCTTGTTCACTTGTCGGATAAAAAGTTATCAAACACTGTGTTTTCTGCGGTAGACTGCCTTTATTTATTGATGAAGGGTTCTCTGCTGTACAGGCAAGTTACGTACCTCACGTGCTGCTGGACGCTGTGTCGAAAAACCATGTGCAACATACTACCGGACATGCGTCCAAAAAGCTTGCATATAAAAATCGTCATCTGTTCAGCTAACACGGCTTTTGGTCACTTGTTTAAAAAGAACAAGGTTTTCACGTGAATTGCTCAGTAATTTATGTTCACTGTTGGTCCTGTTACACTGTTATGAAGTGTCGTGTCTGAAATTGTTGAAAAAGCAAGTATTTCGATTCGTGAGTGACAATTTGAGCAAAATGTTATGCATAGGTTTGTCTCCAAAATTTTTAGGTTTACCTCTTTCTGCAGATTATGCGCAAAGGCGTTCAAGGTGTTGCGCTTATTCAGTTTGCAAGAATTTTATCTGTTAGAATGGGTACTGAAGTTTTAACCCAAAGAAACATTTGCGCAGAAACTCAGCAGTTTCCCCTAATAAGCACAAACTAACTGCAAAAGTTCTTTAGAAACAGTCGAGATTTAGAGTAGGATAAAGTAGAATAAACTGCTAAGGCAAAATTTGGTGCTTTGAATGAGTTTTGAGAAGTTTTGAAATTGGCAATCAACTGGGCTAGGGAGCTCGGTCTGTAAGTGCATGTTTTTTTTTTGTTAATTGATTTACTGATGCCGTTATTCAATGAACTTTACATTATTGATAAATAATAAGAAAAAAGATTTTTTTTCTCAATAGATTACACGCGTACTGCGCATTGCTATAATAATTTTCTTGCAAATAATGTTTGAACGTTTTTACTTGTAATTTTTAAACTGACTTTTTCTCTCACACTTTTTGCATTCTGCTTTTTCCCACATCATCTATTTTTTTTTGCTAGTATATGTTCCGGTAAATAAAAGAGATGCCAAGTCTTTGTTAACCAAGCATTGCTGATATGATAGGAGAGCACCACTTAAGGAATGTTTTGAAAGTTTCAAAAGTTTATTCACGACCGCAAATAAAATACAGTCATTTTCAGTTTGTAATGAGAAATCTGGTAAAACGTTATATCGCACAAATGCAGCGGTGTAAACAGCGAAGCGAAGGCGTCAGCGAAGACGACGTTAACGAGATTAAACAGGTACTTTTAGTTGTCACTGCTGTTTTAAAGGTGTATTGTATGATAAAAATGCTAATAAAATTCTGCTTTAAAATGTTTTACAACTTTTGCCTGTTACTATAGTTCTCTTTTTATGCGCGCTGTTGCATGCAAAATCGCTCGCCTTTTTCAATTATTATCATAAAATTTATTCAAATTTTGGTGCTTAGCTGGGTCTAGAGCAGTATATAAAAAGCTGAAGAGAGACAACCTGGAAAACGTATTTTTTACCAAGTTATAAAATTTACGAAATTTACAAAACTTACTAAGGTGCTGCTTGAAGCGCTTGTTTCAAAAGATTTGTATTCTAGTTTTACCTTGGCAAGTTATTTCTAGTTTATTAATGATGACGTGTCTTGTATTTTAGAATGACCATTTAATTTTGCTGAATATTTTCATAGATACAATAAAAATAAGATTTTAACTCGCATAGAGGAAAAATGTATCTTTGAAACTACACATATTTCCAATTCTAAATTGCCACCTGCTTTAATGAAAAACAATATCTATGTTATTTGTCAAAAAACCTAAAAATCATGTAAATACCTTTAGCAATACAGCCGGTAAAAATAATGGCAAAAAAATTTTTCTATCTATTTATACCTATACTTTTAAAAAACTAACACCTTTAAAAAATAGAAATAATTCGCTAGAACGCTTTATAGAACTTTTTCAAAATTTTAGCTGATTATTTCTTAATCTGTTCTGAGCTTAAATCATTGCTGGCTTTCAAATACTTTAGCTTAAAGGCGTTAACAGTTTTATTTTTATCTTGTAAGAGACATGCCACCCACTAGGACTATTGGTTTGGAAAACAAATATGTATCTACACTTACTGTATGAGCCTGCTTTACAGAAAAAAAGTTGTTTAGGAACGTTTTGGTGTTTTTCAAAAAAATGTCATAAATTGGTTCTACAAATTCAAAACAAAACCACCAAACCACCATAGAGGACTCTTAAGTGATATTTCCAGACCGTAGTTTATGTCAAAGTTGTTAGCACGTAAAAGCGTGAAATGCTACCTCTAACTTGGTGTTAAGGCAGTGAAGAAGAAAGAATCATTTATTTTGTTAAAACGGAATATAAGTGGGAGACAATTCAATTTTGTTTGTGACCCGAAAGTAACATTTTACAATACACCTACAATGTTTTTTCTTTCCTTTTAGAGAGGCCGTTCTTCAAAAAACATAATGAAGCAAATCACTGTCTTCAATTTCTCTTCTAAAATCAGGCAGACTTCAATCTCATTTATCATTTAATAATACGTTGTGGTATAAAGCTAGCTCACTTTAAAATTCCCTGTTGATTTAATTTTGAAAGGTTATTTGATATTTTGCTTTTCCTGTGAAATAATCACAATTAACTAGTGACGCTTCTAAGAATTTATGTAGCATTAGTCAGAAATTTTTTCGCAACCAACATTACAAACGGTGATCTTTTCAACGCTAAGTACTGCTCTTTTAGCACAGTTAGATTTATCTTTCTAGTGGCAGAATGTAGTTTCGATATTCTCACACTCTGTTACTAAAAAACCGTTGTTTTACTAAGATGCATCCTAGATTTTTACTTTCGCTTATTCAAGTTATTGTATAATATGTAGTTTGGAATATGCTTATCATTTGTTTGATAAAGTAAGAATTTTAACGTATTACATGCTTTTTGAATGGTATTCGCTTCAACTCAATTTTCGTATTATTTTTGAAACCTAAATATTGTGTTTTCTCGCCAGTATCTGTGATGAGCAATAAATTTTCAGAATTTTGGAAGTAGAGGAGACAAGTTCTAATAATAAGATTAAAATTTTGCTCATCATATTGGTTGTATGAACATAAAGAGCCTGAAGTTTTGCAAACCGACCGTTTATAGCTCTAGACAAAAATGAGTTTATTAGGAAACCTTTTGTTTTTTTGAGTTCAGACTGGGTTTCGCTGAGGAAGCCTAGAAAAGTTTTCAAACGCCGGATGAGAAGATACAGATAAGAAATAACGTGCATTAAAGTAGAATAATTTTTCCTCTAAAAAGCGCAGTTTGGTAGGATACTTATTTAAAATTGGATCTTGAAGCATGTAATAAGCAACTGAATCGTGACTAGGTAAAGTATAAAAACAGAATCGCGTTTTGTCTCTGGAAGAGTTAAGAATTAAATGCAGCTACCTTGCTGAAGAGTACTCTTTCTAAGTTCTTCTGTATAAAATCCCCAGTTGCTACAAAGTCGACATTTGATGTCATCACGAGTACAGCAAGTATGTAAAAAGAAAGTACAGTGTGTGGTGAAAGTCAAAAACTGCCAGTTTTTCAAAAACACTACAAATTCTTGCTAAGTCACCTTTTCCTTTCAGGACATAAGCGCGTTTCGTTACGAGTTATTAGGCATCTTGCGCAATGCTGGTTTCAATACGGGTCATGCTGACATTAACCAAAAAACTTTTTGTAGGTTTTTTTTATTCCACAGTGAGGTAAATCTTTAAAATTTCTGTTTTTTCCAAATTGATGTTATAAACATATCAATCTCGCAATTTTATACCTATTTCCGTACAATTTGTTTATTTAAATTAATTTAGCTCGCAATAAAAAACGAAGCGCAATGGCTGAAAGGCGTTTAAAGAAGGGTCTTCCAGAGTCTTTCAACATTCCAATGCCACAAAGTTTCACCAGCGTAATTGAAAGCAGACCTGAAGAAGATAAAAAAACTGCTGAATTCCCGTTGGTTCACTGTGTTCTGCTTTTTCACTCGCTTAAACTAATTTTTATTTTAAGTCTTAGCTTTTTAATTTCAGGTCACTGCCCCCAATAAAATTAGCTCCAATTAGCTGGGCTAAGAAACTAAAAAAGATGACAAAAAGAGTTGGTTTTATAAAACTTTTGAATTGTTTTTTCAGATAAAAAGTTGCAGTAACGAACAAAGTTCGTTTCTCGTTTATTTCTGGGAACAGTGCTCTAAAAACAAAAATTATGAACTTTCTTTGTTTAGGTCAGCTTTATGCATCCAGAGGAACACCTGAATGCAGGTCAACCTGAATCAAAAACTGTGAAGTGCATGTCGCTTGATCATGGCTTATCTGCAGTGGAGAAGCATCAAGAAAAGAACCAGCACTGGCTAAGAGCGGGTGTTTCTGAAACGAGAAGGTTTTTCCCGATTATATCTAACTGATTAATCAATACAAATAATCTGTAAGAGTTATGATTAGCACGTTGAAAGCTAGCGTAAAAGATAAGTGAGATCAAAGTTACTACCGTTAAGCTCAAAGAAAACAAAAAGACTGCTTCTCTTTCTTTTGCCCTTCTGCTCCCTAACGTTTGCTCTAAAAAAACCTTTGTTTTTTCTTTTTATTTAAACTGTAGTGCTGCCACCGCGAGAAGAAGGAAGCAAAAGACGAAAATCAATAGAAACTTAATGGAAACAACAGTACGTATGAAAGTTCTTTGAAAATGTATGAAATAGTTTTTTGTTTTTACACACCTATACGAAATGCAGCAGGTGAATTTCTTGTAAATCTGACGAACTGTACTATGCCTTTAACAAGATGTAAATTTAAAAAAGAATTTAGAAATAAGATTTTTAAAAATTGTTAAAATTGAAAAAAGTATAAACTCCTGATATTAGTCTAGTTAATTGATTAAGTTATTTCTTTTTCTGCTTGCTCTTCATGTAGCCTTATTTTTGAAAAAAAAAAGCATATTTTTTTGAGTTTATTTTATGCTGTAAGCAGTTAACCTTTCCTTCTTTTCCCGCAGCTGTCCAGAAAAAACTATGAAGACTGTTTCGGTTTTAATCTCAAAGTAAAACCGCTAAGTAGCAGCGACAGTGACGAGAAATGTCACAGAGTTTGTTGTTTCATCACCATTAAATGGATAGCATTTGCATTTACAGCAAACAAAAGATTATCACCCCATTTGCTATTGAAGAGGGCTTTTATTTTAACTACTCTTCTCGCATACAAGCAACATCAAGTGCAAATTTTTTAGACGCATTTGAGCTGTAATTGTTCTAGAATACATTATCAAGTAAAGCAGAAAATATTTAAAAAAATGAAATAAAATAGAAAATAGCGGTTTATAAGTAAAAAGGTGAAACGATGCAGAAAAGAATAAAATTGTGAGAAACGTTAAACAAAACAATAAAAAGTGTTAAAATTTCACAACGTTGAATAAAATGGTTCGAAGGTAGGCGAAATTTGAACTAAAAATTAAAAAAAAAACTTACTTAACAGTGTAGTTTAATTTTATATTAATGTTACGTCTATCTGAACTTTCTTCTCCCTCCAAAGCAAGATGATTCCTAACCTTTTGCTCCTCACGTTATTTACGCCGCAAAAAATAACTTTGTTGAGGTTTATAGGTTTCTTGTCAAGCATCCCTAACTGTTGAAAAAAATAATAGTGCTACAAAAAGAAGAAAGCAGGATTCAATAAGAAGTTTTAATAAGTTTTAATAAACATAACTTTTTGACAAAAATTTTTATTTTTTAAAGTAATAAATATTTGCTCTGTTTACTTCAGAAATAATTTGAAATTTTTTC